ACACAGAAAAGCATCTAACTATCCTGTTCACTGTCCATGGCTGTTCTTAGTATTATCTATTGTCCCATTTGGACTGTCATATAAGTGGACTGGAGGCATATAGTTGGGCGAGTCCATATCTATACAGGACAGGTAGAGGAGGGAGGGAGGGAGGGTCAAGGTAGCCATTTGGTTAGCTGTTCAGGAGTCTTATGGCTTGGGGTTAGAAGCTGTTAAGAAGCCTTTTGGACCTAGACTTGGCGCTCCGGTACCGCTTGCCGTGCAGTAGCAGAAAGAACAGTCTATGACTAGGGTGGTTGGAGTCTTTGGCCATTTTTAGGGCCTTCATCTGACACCGCCTGGTATAGAGGTCCTGAATGGCAGGATGCTTGGCCCCAGTGATATACTGGGCCGTACGCACCACCCTCTGTAGTGCCTTGCGGTCGGAGGCCGAGTAGTTGCCATACCAGGCGGTGATGCAACCAGTCAGGATGCTCTCGATGGTGCAGCTGTAAAACTTTGAGGATATGAGGATCCATGCCAAATCTTTTCAGTCTCCTGAGGGGGAATAGGCGTTGTCGTGCCCTCTTCACGACTGTCTTGGGGTGTTTGGACCATGAGATGTGGACACCAAGGAACTTGAAACTCTCAACCTGCTCCACTCAATCACTCACAGGCTTCAAATTAGCAACGCTTTTTATTTTGTTCTCATCCACCCACTTACATGATATTACAAATCAACATCCCAGGCCCCTAAAATGTCATGGAATAAATACAGGGGTGAAATATTGACTCAAATGAAATGTTCGCAGTGGTCTTCTAATGAGTTGATTAATCATATTCATGTTCCCAAAGGGTCACTCATTTCATTCCAGTTGAACATTGAAAAGTATACAAAAAGATCCTCAAGCTCCAAAACCACTTGAGATAAATCCCACTCAGATCATTTCTGTATCATTACGATCATTTTAGTATTTAACAGGTTTGAGGAGCATCATTTAGAGACCCTACGCCACAAGAAAGAAACACATGGTCCAATCATCTTCCTCTGTCTCAATAGCATTCCACACACATCTGCAAATACATACAAGTTGCAATTATTATTTATTTTTAACCACACACACCTAAGCTGCCCATGTTTCCAACACTCAGTAGGCATCTTAAAGTTCAATTTTTCAGAATCAAAAGAACCAGGTACAAGATATCAAAAAGTTACTTTCTGAACTTGTCCATAGTACAATATGATTATATTGTAGTATAATAAATATTCTAAAACATTTAGGACATTGTAGTTTGGAATAAAGTATTAACTGCTGCATTTGAGGTTTCTCAAGAGAGATATTCATATGATATAAACATATGCACATATATCTACAAAGAAATAAATGTTAAACAAAATAAAGCAGTCATTTATAAAGATCCATGCGCACCTAACGTACAACTGACTCTGCAATAAATACATTGTTTGCATAGTGAGACTGATGCAGTACAAAAAAATATAAAAGAAAACAAAATCACCATAGAAGTTGTTGAGTGTTAAAAATGGATTAGCCATGGTCACTGTGGGAGTGAAAAGTTGCTCTGAAGTGCACCATACATCCTCTCCAATGGAACCTGTAGCCAAAGCAATTGGTCCATTCCTTCATTGACAAGCAGACACAGGGGGGTGGGGGCGATAATGTCTATTTTAATAAACCTCAGCAGTTTTTTGCTTATTGATTGAGTTTTTAAAAGGTACTTTTTCTAAAGTAAAATGTTAACATTTTCAAATTGATCAAATAACAGACACATTTGGTTAAGCGTGACCATCCTCTTGGTCGTGTGAACACTGCCTTCAGCTAGATGGAACCTTATACTTGGATTATTATTCATTTGACTAAATTTCATGTTTGGGGAAGAAGATCAAATGGCTTTTCTCCAGAGGTGCACAGTTAAAGACCACATACATACATACAGTGGGGGGGAAAAGTATTTAGTCAGCCACCAATTGTGCAAGTTCTCCCACTTAAAAAGATGAGAGAGGCCTGTAATTTTCATCATAGGTACACGTCAACTATGACAGACAAATTGAGGGAAAAAAGTCCAGAAAATCACATTGTAGGATTTTTTATGAATTTATTTGCAAATTATGGTGGAAAATAAGTATTTCGTCACCTACAAACAAGCAAGATTTCTGGCTCTCACAGACCTGTAACTTCTTCTTTAAGAGGCTCCTCTGTCCTCCACTCGTTACCTGTATTAATGGCACCTGTTTGAACTTGTTATCAGTATAAAAGACACCTGTCCACAACCTCAAACAGTCACACTCCAAACTCCACTATGGCCAAGACCAAAGAGCTGTCAAACGACACCAGAAACAAAATTGTAGACCTGCACCAGGCTGGGAAGACTGAATCTGCAATAGGTAAGCAGCTTGGTTTGAAGAAATCAACTGTGGGAGCAATTATTAGGAAATGGAAGACATACAAGACCACTGATAATCTCCCTCGATCTGGGGCTCCACGCAAGATCTCACCCCGTGGGGTCAAAATGATCACAAGAACGGTGAGCAAAAATCCCAGAACCACACGGGGGGACCTAGTGAATGACCTGCAGAGAGCTGGGACCAAAGTAACAAAGCCTACCATCAGTAACACACTACGCCGCCAGGGACTCAAATCCTGCAGTGCCAGACGTGTCCCCCTGCTTAAGCCAGTACATGTCCAGGCCCGTCTGAAGTTTGCTAGAGTGCATTTGGATGATCCAGAAGAGGATTGGGAGAATGTCATATGGTCAGATGAAACCAAAATAGAACTTTTTGGTAAAAACTCAACTCGTCGTGTTTGGAGGACAAAGAATGCTGAGTTGCATCCAAAGAACACCATACCTACTGTGAAGCATGGGGGTGGAAACATCATGCTTTGGGGCTGTTTTTCTGCAAAGGGACCAGGACGACTGATCAGTGTAAAGGAAAGAATGAATGGGGCCATGTATCGTGAGATTTTGAGTGAAAACCTCCTTCCATCAGCAAGGGCATTGAAGATGAAACGTGGCTGGGTCTTTCAGCATGACAATGATCCCAAACACACCGCCCGGGCAACGAAGGAGTGGCTTCGTAAGAAGTATTTCAAGGTCCTGGAGTGGCCTAGCCAGTCTCCAGATCTCAACCCCATAGAATATCTTTGGAGGGAGTTGAAAGTCCGTGTTGCCCAGCGACAGCCCCAAAACATCACTGCTCTAGAGGAGATCTGCATGGAGGAATGGGCCAAAATACCAGCAACAGTGTGTGAAAAACTTGTGAAGACTTACAGAAAACTTTGACCTGTGTCATTGCCAACAAAGGGTATATAACAAAGTATTGAGAAACTTTTGTTATTGACCAAATACTTATTTTCCACCATAATTTGCAAATAAATTCATTAAAAATCCTACAATGTGATTTTCTGGAATTTTTTTTCTCATTTTGTCTGTCATAGTTGACGTGTACCTATGATGAAAATTACAGGCCTCTCTCATATTTTTAAGTGGGAGAACTTGCACAATTGGTGGCTGACTAAATACTTTTTTCCCCCACTGTACATACATACATACATACACCTTCAAGTCACACCACACATTTCAAACTAGTTAAAATGGAACCAGCATAGCGGTATAGCCCTACTGATATCACCAAGGGTTCATAAAGACTGAGGGAAGCATCCGTGAAGCACCTAGCCAGGTACATTATTAGACAAATGTAACCTGGCGATTAGCTAAACACAAAGGCAGTGATGACGAGAATTTGGCCTTGACGCTTTGCTTCTTTCAATTCAAAAGACAAGCCCTCGGTTTGTATCTGACAATGACAAATTTGCTGACACCCTAAAAGAATAGGTCCATAATATTATAATAAACCTGCATGCATGTTAACAGTAACCGTGGAGAGAACTCATGTGGGTCATCTGAGTAAGTGACACTCGAAAGGGCATTTAGTAAATTTACATTCAAGGCAAAAATGTACTACATACAGAGACAGACAGAAAGGTTTTCTATCTACCGAGAGAGATCTAGTCAGACTGGTAAAGCAGTGTCAGCATTTGGTATTGAAGACATATGGTGCAGGAGGTGTTGCATTCAGCTGAAATAGCATACTAAGAGTTTTTCTGTCTGCTTTTAGCTGCCCCTCCTCCATCAATGACACCACACCAGGGTCATGTTCAGTAGGGCTCACGGAAATCTGTTCTCATTGGACGAGTTCAGATTGCACCTTCCTGTTTAATTCAGTTTCAATACGTTTTCAACCTACTGAATATGACCCAGCCGTGTTCAACAGGATTTATCCTGACTGGATGTGACAAAAGGCATTGTGGATTCCATCTTTTTTTTTTATGGAACAATGTAGCCTAATATACTATAGCATGAGAACTGAAGTGAATATTGTGTTCTGTGTTCATTGTGATTTTCTCCATCTATACTGTATCCTGTAAAAAGGAAGCAGCGGCATTTAAGGGGGAAATCATCTCCACCCTCTCAGCCTTCAAAAGTCTATTACACGGCTTCAGAAATCAATAACGTCTCACCCCTGGTGAGGAAAATCATTGCTGCATGAGTAACACTGTCTGTCCCCACTCCCCATCCACCCAAAGTACAAAGCACCAGAATATCACATGAGAAGCTATCCCAGTGGAGAACACAGGAAATCAGGCAGCAGCAGCACTGCTCTTGTCTCTTCCTCCAGCTACACCCTACAGGGCATAAGGAAGTAGTCAAGACCTCTCGCTGTCTGACTAAAGCTCTAACAGGAGGATGCTATAGTTTGTTCATATCTGCTAGGGTAGAAAGCCCTGTGTGGCTCCCAAGCTGCTCAAAAGGGGAGAGAGAGGAGAGGGAGGGAGAGAGGAGAGGGAGGCAGAGATGGAAGGTGCGTCTGGAGGAACTGGTGATTGGTGCCGATGGTCGGTGGTCCGTCAGTCATTTCTTTAATTTCTAAAAAGCTTTTAAAATAAAAAAATAAAAAGGGAAAGGAGGAATTAGAAAAGAGGAGTTCTAGATGGAGCTGAGGGTCATAGATTCATCCGGAGGTGCTCGGGACGTTTGGACATCGGGGGGTAGGCCTGCTTCTTGAAGGGGCCGCCTGTGGTGGTGTTGCCAGAGGGCTTTCTGATGGGCAGGGGGGCAGACACCTCAGCAGCATTGGAGCTCACGTCCATCTGCTCCACACCAACCTCCATGGGCTGGTCTCCAGACCCAGAGGCCCCAGGGGACAGCAGGGACGAGACTCTAGCCTGGGTGGGGGCCCGGGGCCAGCAGTCCCCCCCAGCAAACTTCACTGGGCTGAGGGGACAGAAGGAGAGGCGACAGGGCAGGGTTAGAATAGTGCATTTGAGTACTGACAATGGCAGACTGTTAGAATAGTGACATTTTAACAGTGAGGATAAATCCCAGTACAAGTGAGTACCAGAATGATACTTGATTCAACCACTGGTGGGCAGGACAACTTCATGTTAAAGTTCTACACAAACCTAGACGAACATGAGACAAAACAAAAAGCCCTTACCTCACTGGTGTTCTTGGACTTCCCAGAAACCTTCTTGGTGAGCGGACTTTTTGCTCGAAGGGGAATTTCTCCTTGAGGTTTTCAAGCACGGAGGGGGCTACATACGTAAAGCCCTGTGGGAAGGAGGTCACAGGGAAGATTATAGCCAGGCTCATCAAGGTCCATTACAATACAGGACAGAGGACATGAGCAATGACACACTCATTAAACTACATCATGCAATGTGGCCAGACAGTCAACAGTTTCCAGTAAAAAATAAATAACAAAAAACAGATGCAATGCATTAACCATTTCTCGTAAGAACAATGTTTTTTAGTCAAAAATAAAAAAAGAACAAAAACAGTCTAGCTTATGCCTACCCGTGTGCGTGCAACCATGCACACAGTAAAACACACATGCACACAAACACGAAACCAAATGGGCTGAGCACAGTAAGCAGCCTACCAGGAAGACTTGATTGGCACTTTCGCTGAGCGTGGAGTCATCAGGGCTGTCGACGGGAGTCTGGCTGGTGAACTTGGAGTCAAACTGGCTCACGTCATCAGCTGATTGCTGCAATGGAAGGAAAAAAGGAAACCTGTTAACCTCTAGTCTCTGTGGGTCACGGAGGACTTGGAAAGCACAGGTGCTCTTCACAATGGAAATGCAATGAATAAGGAATGATGGCTCACCAGAAAAGGCTTGAATGGAGGCTCCACTTTGCGAGCGAGAAGCTCGTCCCATTTAATATGCCTGAAGAATGGGTGGGACTGGAGACAAGAGAAAAAAGCCACATTAGAGGGTGGCTCTCTTCACCTTCTTCAACAACATTGTAATAATCCTGCAACAGGTCCCATGTTTTAACTGTATCACCTGAATTTCTGAGGCATCTCCTGGGCCCGCCCCCAGCCGTAACGAGGCGTTGCGTTTTAGCAGCTGGAACAGAGAGTTATGGGTAATGTTAGTCTGCTCATCTGTTTTCATTTGACCCGACTTGTGTTACATTAGACAATCAGAAGATGGAGTGTACCTGAAATGCCACCCAAAAACTAATATGATTAAAACTGGGACAGTTTAACATCTAACACAGTGAAACGCTTACCTTTTTGAGAAGGTCCCTGGCTTCTTGTGTGAGGTAAGGTGGCAAGTTCAGTTTACACTTTAAGATTTTGTCAATGGTCTTCTTCCTGTTTTCACCAGTGAATGGTGGCTGTTGAGTAACAAAAAAAAGTATGTTCCACAACAATACAGACATAATGTCCCCCTGAGGTTAAATATCTAAATAATAATCAAAATGTAAAAAGATCAAGATATTGATCAATTAAATGATGATGTAGTCTTGTACACAGAGTACATTATGTGTCTCTTGGAGGAGTTGTACTCACTGCTCCTGTCAGCATGTCATACATGAGAGCTCCAAGGCTCCACCAGTCTACAGCCCGGTTGTGTCCACTCCTCATCAGGATCTCTGGGGCCCTGGTGTGACAGAGGGGAGAGGAATGTGAAGGCCTATACAATGTGCAACCAAACTCACTCATTTCTTCTACCAAAAGAGTAGTGGATAAAGAAGTTTACAACAGACTAGGAGGCTGACATTAACTTTTCATTGTTTTAATGATTAGCACCGTGACTTACATGTATTCTATGGTACCACAGAAGGTGTGAGTAACCGTGCCGCCGTGGATTGATTCTTTACACAGTCCAAAGTCTGTGAGCTTGATGTGACCGTTGTTGTTGAGCATGATGTTTTCTGGCTTCAGGTCTCTGTAGATGATGCCTTTCTGATGCAGGTGTCCCAGAGCCATGGAAATCTCTGCCAGATAGAAGCTGCAGAACAGAAAACAGACATTTTACATCAAGTACAGTCAAAGTGTGCTGGATCTTTGCCTCAGCAAATATTGCATCTATACTGTTACAGGAAGTATGACGGAAAAAATCCTTCCGTAAAGCATCAATAGCATTTTGGAAAAATTTATCCTTTCAGATTCACCTTTCTCCGCTTTCCATTGCCCTCTACATTCTAAACCTAAGGTGCTGTGCTTCCAACATCCTGACATTTGTCTGCTTCTAAAAATAGCTCCAAAACAAAAACACACCCCTACTGACCTTATGCTATGTAATCAAATCTCACATCTGTTGACACAACATTTGAGTGAGGACTACAGGTTCAAGACACTCATATCTATTCTACACACTTCAGACAGATACACATCTCCAGCATGATAGATCACTTACCATGCTGTGTCCTCCATAAAGATCCCCTCTCTCTCCAATTGCATAAACAGCTCCCCACCTGCAAATCACAAATAAAGCATTTAAAATATGCACTATGCAGAAATCGCGCCGCCTTTTCCTGGTTGCTAAAATTCGAATAGTTCGCCTAATTTCAGTTCATGTGAAAAACAAGCATGTATATTGTAGAAAATCATTGTACCATCTAAACCGCTGTGATATTTTCCATAACCATTTTCAGCTGTTTGAAGCCTGGTGTACAAAACCGAAAGTAAAAGATATGCAAAAATGAAACTTAAGAACCGGAAGCATAGAAATAGGGCGCATAGAACATATAATACCGCTTCTTATACTTGCTTTCCATGTGAAAAACAGATCTATAACTCACATTTCTATGTGAATTTGGTCAGGTTGCCCAAAAAGTTACATATTGCAGCTTTATTTTAACTTAGGCCATTGTGTGTGAATGATGTGTATGTTACGCTGTGTTGTGTGGTTTGTGTGTGTATGATGTGTGGGCGCCCACACCATGCCCCAGTCACTCACCTGAGAGGTACTCCAGGATGAGGTACAGCTTGCCCCCTGTCTGGAAGGCATAGATGAGGTCCACTATGAACGGGTGCTTCACCTCCTCCAGGATGTTCCTCTCTGCCTTGGTGTGAGCTGTGTCCTTAGCGTTACGCACTATCATGGCCTGGAGGGATCAAACAAGGCATGGATTTTCAAAAACTGTCAGCATTATAACAATGGTAGCACTTTACATTTACAGCAGAGAATAAAGGGGAAATAACCTGGTAATAGTATGGTAACAAGTTAGTCACTCCAAATGAAAACATTTCTTGCACATAGAAACTGAGGTATGATATGCATTTGAAAACACGAGTACATTCTTTGTCAAGCAGGACAGACTATGGTAGGTAACGGACAACAGGTTTGAGACGCTCTGAAAACATAACAGTAACATAAAGGAAATGCTCATTTGCCATCTGGTTTGGATGATTATTTCTCTGCGCTCCCCTTTTCCCCAGCCCAGTGAAAGGAAGTAAAGGAACTCCTCTGCTCTGAGCCATGTCATTAATGCTGTTATTGTCGCCCTCAGATCCAGAACACGCGCAAATCTTTTGCTCAAAGAAATCCAAAACATTCTAACTATTTCAGCTGTTGGGAACAATACTAGATCTGTTTCAGTTGGATAAAGCCTGAGCCCAGTGGAAGAGCCAGAAGCCAGAGCAGTCGGTCATGAGCGTGAGGCTCTGCTGCCTGCCGTGCTACACAGCCACTTACAACATGCACACAGTGATGGGTTCTGACATGGCAGGTAAAGTCCATCATGTTAAACACCAGTGCTGGGGCTTGTCTGTATACACTAGAGTATATACACCCTTATGTTATACTATGGAAATTGTGTTTCCATAGCTAGGGCTGACAGTGAGGACTTGTGAAGAGCAGAATCAACAACCTCTGCATAATCAAAACAGTTGCTTTGTGAGAAGGTGTTAAAGTTCAGTTAGCCATTGTTATGTAAACACCAGCTGAAAAGTACCAGGGGCTTTGCTTTGGCCCCAAGTGAGAGCAGGTCCACCGGAGCCATGGCCCATGGAAACAGAAAAGTCTGAGCCTTTTCGGTAAAACACTGGGGTAAATCCTGTACATAAATGCTATATGGGCTTCCAAGACATGAGGGAAAGAGGGGAGGGGGGGACCCTGGTGTTTTATTTGGCAGTGATGATAGCTGCTGGTTGGCTGGTTAAAAGCCTTCATCCTCAACCACAGAGGTACAATAGGAATCAGAGCTCTTAGCGCCTGCATGGTAGCAACAGTAAATACTGGCTTATAAAAACTATAAAAAGAATCATTATTACCGAAACCTCTAAGGCTTCTGGGAAAAATTGGTGGGTTCTGGGGCCAAAATGCAAACCAGACGGGCGGTCGTCAATTACAGAAAGGATGCAGAACAGATGGAAAGAAACTGGGGAGAACAAACAGCCCTGAGGTTTCATGGGAAGTTGTTTTAGTTTTTTTGTTATGGGTTAGGCGGCCTCTTTTCTGACTGCATGGCTAAATGAATTCACCCAGGTGTATTCAGTACACTACTGTAACAACTTGGGTCAGTGTCCAATCTGGGTTCATCGTCATGTCAATAGAAATCCTTTGAGAATAAATCTTTATTGAATAAATCTCACAGAATTTAAGTGTACAGTTCCTTAGGGACAGACGAGAGAACAAAAGATAAGTATCTCAACGTCATGATAATCCAAACAGACAAGTATCTCAACGTCATGATAATCCAAACAGATAAGTATCTCAACGTCATGATAATCCAAACAGACAAGTATCTCAACGTCATGATAATCCAAACAGACAAGTATCTCAACGTCATGATAATCCAAACAGACAAGTATCTCAACGTCATGATAATCCAAACAGACAAGTATCTCAACGTCATGATAATCCAAACAGATAAGTATCTCAACGTCATGATAATCCAAACAGCCCACCTTCTTCAAGACCTTCATGGCGAATATCTTTCCCGAAGTGGCACCCGACACCTTACGAACTTGAAAAACCTGAATGTGATAGGGGGAAGAGACAAAACATGAATTTCTGTGAAGTTATGCTATCTATTCTAAGGAGAAGACATGTGAATGAATACTTGAACAAGTCATAAGGTGATCAGGGATAGCTCACCTTTCCATAGCCTCCTTTTCCTAAAACCCGGAGCAACTCAAAGCATTCCGGACGAATCTGCTCCGTTCCTTTGTTGACGCTGTCTTCAGAGATTTCAAACTTTTCACAGTCGTCCATGTTACTTGAAAATAAATAAAGACAACCATTGAAACATAATTCATACATGTCAAATTGCAGCCAGTCAATGTTGAATCTACCCGAATGACAAAACCAGAAGGTTAGATTAAAGATGGAATTTCGCAGTAGGGGAAAACAGTCCTGCACAAGCAATCTATCACCTCTGGACTTATCTGTTCATCAAGCATACAACATCATAAAAGTGGTCAACGGTGTTGCTGTAATTGACAAATTAGATTACACATATCATTAATCCCTTCAGGGCAATTAGATTGACACCTTTGCCCAAACATTAAAACACATAGAATTGCATGACAAAGAAGCACCCTGTTGTCAAAGATGTTGTGGTGACTGTGCCACATTAGTTAGTGCTAAAATATACAGGCTGAACCTATGTTGTAAATACCCACAATTCGAACCCGCTGCATTGCTCCATGGATTCACTCATTTGGGTCTGGCAAAAAAAAGAAGAGATAGACCAATTTAACAACAGGACTGATCTTTCTCCATCAGTAAACAACTTCGAAAATACACCTGTTCCAGTGACTTTTCAGAAGGGACTTTTTTGACTGCATCACACACACAGTCTTGTGAGACTGCTGAAAAAAGCAAATGATACTCAAAGAAATTATGTATGAAAGAGTAGCTAGAACAACTTGTTTCAGTTGTCCACATCCAACGATGCCGAAATCTGATCAGAGGTCAAGTGGTTTCATAGCTTATCTGTCAATATCTGTATCCTTTAGCTACAGTGAGGGGAAAAAGTTTTTGATCCCCTGCTGATTTGTACGTTTGCCCACTGACAAAGACATGATCAGTCTATAATTTTAATGGTAGGTTTATTTGAACAGTGAGAGACAGAATAACAACAACAAAATCCAGAAAAACGCATGTCAAAAATTTTATACATTGATTTGCATTTTAATGAGGGAAATAAGTATTTGACCCCCTCTCAATCAGAAAGATTTCTGGCTCCCAGGTGTTTTTATACAGGTAACAAGCTGAGATTAGGAGCACGCTCTTAAAGGGAGTGATCCTAATCTCAGCTTGTTACCTGTATAAAAGGCACCTGTCCACAGAAGCAATCAATCAAACAGATTCCAAACTCTCCACCATGGCCAAGACCAAAGAGCTCTCCAAGGATGTCAGGGACAAGATTGTAGACCTACACAAGGCTGGAATGGGCTACAAGACCAATCGCCAAGCAGCTTGGTGAGAAGGTTACAACAGTTGGTGTGATTATTCGCAAATGGAAGAAACACAAAATAACTGTCAATCTCCCTCGGCCTGGGGCTCCATGCAAGATCTCACCTCGTGGAGTTGCAATGATCATGAGAACCGTGAGGAATCAGCCCAGAACTACACGAGAGGATCTTGTCAATGATCTCAAGGCAGCTGGGCCCATAGTCACCAAGAAAACAATTGGTAACACACTACGCCGTGAAGGACTGAAATCCTGCAGCGCCCGCAAGGTCCCCCTGCTCAAGAAAGCACATATGCATGCCCGTCTGAAGTTTGCCAATGAACATCTGAATGATTCAGAGGAGAACTGGGTGAAAGTGTTGTGGTCAGATGAGACCAAAATCGAGCTCTTTGGCATCAACTCAACTTGCCGTGTTTGGAGGAGGAGGAATGCTGCCTATGACCCCAAGAACACCATCCCCACCGTCAAACATGGAGGTGGAAACATTATGCTTTGGGGGTGTTTTTCTGCTAAGGGGACAGGACAACTTCACCGCATCAAAGGGACGATGGACGGGGCCATGTACCGTCAAATCTTGGGTGAGAACCTCCTTCCCTCAGCCAGGGCATTGAAAATGGGTCGTGGATGGGTATTCCAGCATGACAATGACCCAAAACACACGGCCAAGGCAACAAAGGAGTGGCTCAAGAAGAAGCACATTAAGGTCCTGGAGTGGCCTAGCCAGTCTCCAGACCTTAATCCCATAGAAAATCTGTGGAGGGAGCTGAATGTTCGAGTTGCCAAACGTCAGCCTCGAAACCTTAATGACTTGGAGAAGATCTGCAAAGAGGAGTGGGACAAAATCCCTGGTGGCCAACTACAAGAAACGTCTGACCTCTGTGATAGTACTTGGTGGCAAAACCCTTGTTGGCAAAGTCATGTTTTGCAGAGGGGTCAAATACTTATTTCCTTCATTAAAATGCAAATCAATTTATAACATTTTTGACATGCGTTTTTCTGGATTTTGTTGTTGTTATTCTGTCTCTCACTGTTCAAATGAACCTACCATTAAAATGATAGACTGATCATGTCTTTGTCAGTGGGCAAACGTACAAAATCAGCAGGGGATCAAATACTTTTTCCCCTCACTGTATGTTTTGACAATCCAACTAAGAATGGATCGTTTATTGGGCGGCAGGTAGCTTAGTGGTTCAGAGCGTTGTGCCAGTAACCGAAAGGTCGCTGGTTCTAATCCCCGAGCCGACTAGGTGAAAAATCTGTCGATGTGCCCTTGAGCAAGGCACTCAACCCTAATTGCTCCTGTAAATCGCTCTGGATAAGAGCGTCTGCTAAATGACTAAAATGTAAATGTAAATGTAAGACAGATGGCTAGGCCTATGCCATATGGTACAGTTGGTTAGTTTAGCTAGCCACCAATGTCAAGTCCACCCTTGGTTCCGCTACCTAATAATAACGCGTTAGTTACTATAACATTAGTTAGCTAGCTACCTATCTTATTTCTTACTAACGTTAGTCGCTAAGTTAACTAGCTAGCTAGTAGCGGTTGTAAGCGTGGGTTCTTCTTTCGGGCTTGCCACGACGAGCTAACCAGCTGATATGTTGAAGTTACTGACAAAGACAGTCTTAAGCTTCTGGCTAACATCATCTTATTTACTGCAGACAAGTTCGTTTGCGCCTCCCTTCTTCACTAGCAGCTAACGATAGTAGCTAACTAGTTCATACCAAGCTAAAGGAAACTAGCTAGCGAGTAATGTTTTGCTGGGTAGCTAGCTAATTACTGTACAGTAGCTGGCTACTTACCCCATCCTCGAGTTCGTCATCAGACACATTTTCGTCCGCCTGATCCAAATCAATGTCGAATACCCCGGCCATGGCCTTTGCTTGGTCCCTCTCTCACTCAGTCCGAAAGAAAGTATATTCTTCTCCACTGCCTCATGGAAACACACCTTGCCGACATAACCGGCTACAGTAAATAGAACCCATGCGAGTAGCAGTACCGCTAGCTCCCGACCAAACAAGATTCCAAAGGGGTAAAAAAACAAAGCCAAGTGTTGAGCACGCGCACTGCTGAAATTAGATAGTAGCTAGCTGAGTATCTTTAATAGTAGCACAATGTCCATGATGCCCCATACTTTTTCGTAAACTGATTTCGCCCGTTTAAACATGTTATATTTTATCTTATATATTATCCTTCAATAGTCACAAAGTGATATTTGTGTGATATGGCTCAGAAATTAGCTATGGTGATACTGTAGTCAGTCAAAATCAAATCAAGTGTTATTGGTCACATTCACATATTTAGCAGGTGTTATTGCCGGTGTAGCGATTGTGTTCCTAGCTCCAACAGTGCAGTAGTATCTAACAATTTACAACAATACACATAAATCTAAAAGTAAAATAATGGAATTAAGAAATATATAAATATTAGTTCCATGGACTGCCTGGCATATTCTTTCCCACAACAAGTATGATTGCACTGTGACAAAACGTTCACAGCCTTTTCTGTATTCCCTCTTGGTTAATTGTGAAGTTAGTGTCTTTTGTGATCTAACCTGTAACCAGAATAACTGTTTGTGCGCATATAGCCGTTATTGGCAGTAGATGGCAGTGAGAACAAAGAAATCCTTCTTCGGGTGTTGAGAGGATTTTCACCCCATTTGGACCTCTGAGTCTTGCGGTGATCTTAAAGTGCCAACAGGGGGCGCCCATAGGGTGTAACCAAAGATTATTATAGCTAACCAACCCTTATTCATCCATGGTGTTACTGTTTACCTCAGCCTGATTCAGGTGCTGATTCAGGTGCCACTTATCCTCCTGTTGTCGAATAACCCACATAAATGTACACAGTCACCTTGAGTTGAGGTGGTGTGAGAATTATATGCTGTGATGTTTCACATATAGCATCACCATTCCTGTGATGATGACTCATGCCTGGGAGCATTTATTCACAACACACACACACACACACACATACACCCACACAGTACACATTACTTCTACTCAGTGCCCAGGGACATAGAAAGCTTATCTCTGAGACTCAGTGACACCTGTGGTCCCAGATCAAAGGGGTTGTGTTTCAAGTCAAGTTGAACGTTTTTTTTATTAGTCGTATGTACGGGATACACATGGTATACGTCGTCCAACGAAATGCTTACTTGCAGGTTCCTTCTCGACAACGCAAACAACAGTAAGAAATAATAAAATATAAAAATACGAATAAACGTCAATGGCAGTAGAATAGAATAAACATTTTAGCATAAGGATAATACATGAAGACACAATTTATAGCCCAATATTTACACGTGTATTGGGGATGGGGGGCAAGTGTATAAATTGAGCAATAGAATAAGAGTCTGGTAGCAGTAGTTGTGATGTGTGTTTAGCATGAATGTATATGTGTGTGTGTGTGTATGTCTGTGTGGGTGTGTGCATGAGTGAGTGCATGTGTGCTAATGAGGGGCGAATCGGAGCAGGTGGTCAGTCCAGTTCAAGTGTTCAGCAGTCTGATGGCTTGTGGATAGAAACTGTCTCTGAGCCTGTTGGTATCAGTCCTCATGCTCCTATACTGTCTGCCCAACGGTAAGGGAGAGAAAAGCTTGTGGCTGGGGTGGGTGGGGTCCTTGATGTGTGTATATGTGTGTGTATATATATATACACTGAGTATACAAAACATTAAGAACACCTGCTCTTTCCATGACATAGACTGACCAGGTGAATCCAGGTGAAAGCTATGATCCCTTATTGATGTCACTTGTTAAACCCACTTCAATCAGTGTAGCTAAAAGGGGAGGAGACAGGTTAAAGAAGGATTTTTAAGCCTTGAGACAATTGAGACATGGATTGTGGATGTGTGCCATTCAGAGGGTGAATGGGCAAGACACACGATTTAAGTACATTTGAACGGGGTATGGTAGTAGGTCCCACCCAAAGGACATCCAGCCCACTTGACACAACTGTGGGAAGCATGGGAGTCAACATGGGCCAGCATCCCTATGGAACGCTTTCGACACCTTGTAGAGTCCATGCCCCAATGAATTGAGGCTGTTCTGAGGGCAAAAGAGGGGGGTGCAACTCAATATTAGGAAGCTGTTCCTAATGTTTGGTATACTCAGTGTATTATGGGTACAACCAGCAATTACAACATTCTCTGCCTTGCACATTAGGATGTTTTATTTATTAGTGGTTCCTGTGTGTAACTGAGACACCTGAGTGATGTGCATTCTTTGGCCAGGCTGTTGGTGCGAAGAAGGGAGAATGAAAATAATAAAAGGGATGAGAGGAAGGGAGGAAATGAGAGAGAAAGAGGGAGACAAACGTGGACAAATGAATAGACAATATTGTTTTTTATTCATGGCCATAGAGAGAGACTGTGGGTATGTATTTGGCTGCAGATGACTGTAGATGACGGTGGCAGATAGAAGCATGCTTGATCTGTCAGTAACAAATGAGCCTATTGGTTCCCTTCTCTTTTCCTCACAGCATGAAACCACAGGAATAGATTAAAACAGGGGCTTTCTGGTTTTGACGTGTTGAAAGACAGAGAACACATTTATTTGCAAATGACTGCAAAGGGCAATTTCCAAAATATCTTCAAAGAAGATGAGAGAACAGGAAAAAGTTGGACGTTAATTATTGGCTCTTACATGGTTATGTTATCGGTTTCTTCCCTCAAATAATCATCACGAAATCATGCACTACAAGGATTCAAGGGGGCGCTCTTTTGTTATGTATTAGTCAGTGACACGACAACAATCACCAAAAATTATATGATTACAGTTATGCAATCTGTGAATTTGAGTGAATAGAATGTGGTGTGATGAACAGTACATTTGAACAGCGGGACAGAGCAGGACAGGATGTGCCAGTCAGGTGATTACTAGGGTGTGTCTGTTCTCTTCTGTATGCTCACAGTTCACACACACACACACACACTCTATATCCTGCTGGCATTGCCACCTGGCTGGCCTTTGCGGTTAGGTTAAGGGTGAGACCCTCTGCCATACTGGGTAGGCAGAGGACTGGAAGCTGTTGCTCAATCAAAACCATGTTTTGCCAAACTGCCCATATCTTCCATAGGTCAAATAGAAGCACAGAAAGAACCTGTTTAATCAGATTTTAGGAAAACTAATCATAACCACTATTGGTCTACAATTACCGTCAGTAACACCAAGTTACCTTTCAATAAGCTGTTTTAGTCGTGCAGCTGCAGGATCTTAATTTGAGCCAGTTTGCTACAGCAGGAAAATAATCCTGCAGCAACAGGAAATGTGAATTATTATGTGGATTATAATTAATGGACATTTTTTGTAGGGGTTGATACATTTTTCGTTAACCTCTACGGGATTGGTGTCCCGTATATGGAACAGTTGAGCTAACGTTCGCTAAGGTGATTAGCATCACTGTTGTAAGTACAAGCAAACTTTCCAGGACATAGACATGTTTTATATGGGCAGAAATCTTAAATTATTGTTAATCTAACGGCACTGTCCAATTTACAGTAGCTATTACAGTGAAAAAATACCATGCTATTGTTTGAGGAGAGTGCACAACAACAAAAAACTTATCACGGCAACTGGTTTGATACATTCACCTCTCAAGGTAAATAATGTACTTACATTCAGTAATCTTGCTCTGATATGTCATCCTAAGGGTCCCAGAGATAAATTGTATAATAGTTTTATAAAATCAATTTTTATATTCAAATGTAGGAACTGGGTTCTACAGTTTGAACCCTTGCTGTCTCTGGCACCACAACCACCCCGCCCGGCCATCTAGATGTGTGAAAGTTTGTGTGTAAACTAATGATCCATCATGTATGACATTCCTGTCATAGTTATGTACTTGAAAATAATATAATATATAATAATATAATATGCCATTTAGCAGACGCTTTTACCCAAAGCGACTTACAGTCATGCGTGCATACATTTTTGTGTATGAAAATCTATCAATTGACCAATTCGGCACATTTGGGCAGATTTGATACAAAATAGTCCAGTATTGCAACGCTTCACTGGATCAATCTGAAACTTTGCACACACTGCTGCCATCTAGTGGCCAAAATATTATATTGTGGCCTTTCTCTTGCATTTCAAAGATGATGGAACAACAAAAAATAGAGAACGCATGTTTGTTTGTTTTTATTATCTTTTGCCAGATCTAATGTGTTATATTCGCCTACATTAATATCACATTTCCACAAACTTCAAAGTGTTTGCTTTCAAATGATATCAATAATATGCATATCCATATCCTTGCTTCAGGTCCTGAGCTACAGGCAGTTAGATTTGGGTTTGTCATTTTAGGCGAAAATTGAAAAAAAAAGGGTGGAAATTACCATGTAGACTCGAGTCACATTACTTGGACTGGAGTCTGATTTGAGTCCAAATTTGATGACTTGACTTGATAGAAAACAAATAACTCGACTTTGACTTGAGATTGATGATTTCAAATTATCTGGCCAGGTTTTGTAATGTTTTGTCACACATTTTGTGGCACAGAGTCTACGTGGATTACTCTACACGCAGCCAGAGACAGCATGGCCCTTGCAAAAAAAAAACGGCTCAAGATTTAGTGAAACGCTAACTCGGCACTCTGATTGGACCAGCAAACTGTCAATCAACACAGGTCAGGTGAGCTAGCGAACAAATTGCTGATTCGCTGTACAGTTTAGGATCGTAGAGAAAGAGGATTGCCATAATAAATAAATATGCAGCTCAAAAAAATGTTTGGTGATCAAGAATATTAACTGTTTACTTTGCAAGCTCACCAGCAACGAGGCAACAATTACTAGCACAGGCCTACTGGTCTTTTGGTATGTAACAATTGCTTGACATTTATAAATAAATAAATTTACTTATAAAGCTTGGATTTGGAATTGGTTGTTAAAATGAATTAATACTATGGCAAAGACGCACCATAGGAGTAGAGAGTGCTATTTTTCTCTTGTTGAAATGTTTGCTGTTGCTTTCACACTTTAAATGCATAGGCCCTATGTGGCAAATCTATATTCCAT